CTGTGGGAGCCGCTCAGACCCCCACATACCAGCGGTCTGGACTCGATGTTTCTTCTAAGCATAATCTTATTGATCTTTTCCTCCCAGGAGAATAAAAGCAAAGTTTGTCTTAAATAAATGAGAGATTAAATGATGATGAATCTGCTGAATGTTTGCTCACCTCACAGAACCAATGGATGGGTTGATGGAGACCAGGAGGAGCAGCTGATCAGTAGAAGCATCAGTGATCTGATTGTGACTCAGACTGGAAGACAAACACAGCACTCTGCATCATGTTAGGTTCTACTGGAACACGTCCATCAATCATCAGAACCACAGAGAAGAGCAGCAGGTTCCAGATGTCCTGCTGGACAGCGTCCTCTAGCAGAAGTCTGTCCTCCTCATAGAGACACTAACAGGGACAGGAGTCTCTCCTGGACCTGAATTCAGCATCATGGCTCATTGAAGCCTGATTGGCTGAGATCTAAGTCTGTGGATCAGCTGATCCACTTGATCTGGATCAGAACCGAGGGAATGTTTGGGTTTGTCTCCCACAGAGGGACGGTCTGGGACACTTACTCCAGGACTTGGACCTTGTGCAGATGTGTGATGAGTTGGAGCAGCAGCAGGTCGGTCAGCTGGCAGTGACTGAGGTCCAGCTCTGTTAGACCTTCAGAGTAGTCCAGCATCAGAACCAGAGCTGCACAGAGCCTCTGATCCAGTGTGCTGTGACTCAGGTCCAGTTCTCCTCCCAGGGCTCTGCACAGGGACACCGCCCGTCTCACCGTGTCCCTCTCACTGCCCACAGCCAGCAGGGACAGCAGCTGGACCAGGACCGTCTTACTGACCCTAAACAGCAGGAACAGAACAAAGAACTTCAGCATGAATGTGAAGCAGCTTCTCCCTGCTTCAGCTTCATCCTCCCTCCTCCTCCTCACCTGAGACGGACCCTGTCCAGGACAGGAAACAGCAGGTCCAGCCCGCCGTCCTCCACCTCACAGTCTCTGAGGTGGAGCTGTGTGTCCCTGCAGCTGTGTCTCAGGATGGAGGAGACGGCCCTGCAGTCAGCAGCCGTCACCCTCAGAGGCTCCTTCTGCTCCTCCTCTGCTAGCTCCACGCAGGAGGAGCAGGACAGGTCCACGCTGTGCTGCAGAGTCCTCAGCAGGGCTGCTGCTGCCTCCTGCTGGCTGTCAGAGGCAGCGCAGCAGTGGATGAAGCTCAGCAGCTGCTTCCTGTCCACACTGGTGGGAACAGAGAAGAACCAGTTAATGGAGAGGAGGGAACGGTTTATTATGGTCTGCAGTCCTGAGGAACAGGCTCTAACTTCTGACCTGAGATCAGAAACTTTGTGCAGCAGATGGAGGATGGACTGGATTCCCTCTGCTGGGATGGAGCTCCACAGCAGCTTCAGTTTAACTCCATCACTGTGTCTGAGGATGAAGAGCAGAGCAGCACAGTCCTCTGAGTCCAGCTCTGTGCAGCTCAGGTTGATCACATGATCCAGTGACCTCAGCAAACCAGGTATCATGTGACTGCTGAGAGCTCGGGAGATCTCTCTGATGGAAGTCCTCACAAAGCTGGGTCTGGGCCTGGAAGCAGAGGATCCACAACAACACTGTTTAGTTCCAGAGGCTGCTGATGGACGATCAGACCAACCGTTGATTAGAAGAATCAAAACCTCCATCTTTGAAGCACCATCCTGTGCAGAAAGGGCAGCAGCTGTGGAGCTCTCTCCTGTAAGAAGCTGTTCTTCTTCAGGTTGACGGTGATGGTCTGATCTGACGGCTGCTGCAGCAGATAGTGAAGCAGCTCCCAGTTCAACCGGCAGGAGCTCAGGTCTCCACCAACCTTCTTCAAGAAGGACAACGTCAGGTCCTGGTCCTGGACCTCATGGAGGAGGACCACAAGCTGCTGGAGAACATCTTCACTCAGCCTGCAGAGATCACAGATCAAACCTGAACTTATCTGGGTTTAGTTCAGCTGATGGAGATGAAGAAGACATCTACCTGACTGAGAGAGGAGCATCATGAAGCAGCAGACTGAAGAGACTCTGAGTAGGAAGGCGGGACTCAGTCAGGTCGACCCGTCTGACTGTCCAGAACCTCAGCAGAGACGCCAAACTGCTGCCAACCTTCAACAAGGTTCTCTGTGATGCTCCAACTGTGGTGGAAACCACAGAAAGCTCTTCAACAACCAGAGGAAAGGTCACTCTGCCTCTTCTCACCCACTGAGACAGGAACAAGGCCACAGCGTTGGACAGTCTGCAATCAGAAAGAGGAACAGAGACGATGGAGATGAAGAATAAATGGTTCAATATGACAGCAGATAAACGGTGAAGAAGAGACGTTGTTCTCCAGGTTCCTGCCTCAGACTGTGGAGCTGTGTTGTAGATCTGAAGAGGACAGAAGCTCCTCTGACTGACATCTTTCTGGCTGTGAGGATCAGATCCACTTTAGATCCACACAGACGGAGAACTCTGCCCACAGGGCTGCAGGTCTTCCTGCCCAACTCTCCTGTTAGACGCAGGTTGAAGTTCAGGAGCTGAAGAAGAGACACCAGCTGCTGGACCTCCTCTCTGGATCTGAATGGTGTGGATGAACAAACGATCTGGAAGAACCCTGGATCACAGCTGGAATACAGAGAGACCAATGAGACAAAAGATAAAAGAGCAAAGATGAAGAAGATCCTGATGGAGCAGAGATCAGCGAATTTAAGCATCTCTGTTTAGATTCATCAAAGATTATTAAACTGAAGAAATATAAATTTAGAAGAAAGAAATCCTGGATTCACCTGAGCTGTGAGATATAAGGCAGACACTGTAGGAAACTCCTCACTTCACTCTCTCCATGTGAGCAGTCTG